GGCCATCTAGTTCAGAATCAACAAAGCCCACATGGAAGAAGCACACCAGCCTCTGTGACCACGAGCTGTCGAAGGGATCAGGTATCAAGCATGAAAGAATAAAAGTGATTCTTATATATTTATATGCACACACATATATATAACAACTGAAAAATAACTATAAAAATGTGTGCTTATATATGCACACATATGCACATGAATTTTATAGTTATCATGATTAAGGTGTTATAATAAGGTTTTATTTTAAAATAGCTTAAATTTTATTTATGTAGTTTTGCATTATTTGCATCTTACAGAGGTTTGTTTGTTTTGTCTTTACGTACCCCTAATAAAGCTAGGGTATGACTTTTGAATTTGTCATCTCATGTAACATTTTAATGGAAAAAGATTCTTTAGATTTAATATGACATATTGCTAAATTATATTAGGGAAGTAGGAGAAAAGGTAGGCTGAAAAGTTTTTTTCATATAATCATTTTATTGGGGGCCTCTAACAAATCTTATAACAATCCATCATTCAGTGGTATTAAGCACACGTGTCCATATGTTGCCATCAACATTTCCAAAACAATTTCTTTCCACTTGAGCCCTTGGTATCAGCTCCTCCTTTTTTCACCTACTAGGCTGAAAATTTGAGAAAATAGTTTTGTGTTATAAACACAGCCACCTCTTCTAAGTGAATTGCTTTTTTCCTTACCGACCATAGTTTCTTACCTCCCTGCCCTCTGTAGGATTTTTCTCTTTGAATTTTTCACTCGCCTTAGAGAATTAATTAAAACAAATGAATTGTAGGCAGGTATGTTTGGCTAATTTAGGAGCCCTGGTCATGTAGTGGTTACATATTAGGCTGCTAAACACAAAGTCAGCAGTTCGAAACCACCAGCACTTTGAAAAACCAGCCACTCATTGGAAAAAAGTCAGGACTTTCTATTTCCTTCAGGGGCAGTTGTACCCTGTCCTTTAAAATTGACTCAATGGCAGTGAGTTTGAGTCTGTTTGGTAACTGAGACGGTCTCTGTCTAAATGTTAATGGTGCAGGAAACTGAAAGTAATAGCTAATTTAATCACTTACAGAGGAACCCTGGTAGTGTAATAGGTTATGCATTTGGATGCCAACTACAACATCAGCAGTTCAAAACCACCAGCTTCTCCACAGGAGAAGATAGGCTTTCTAATCCAGTAAAGACTTACAGTTTGGAAACCCACAAGGACAGTCAGTCCTAGAGGATCGCTATGCGTCAGAATTGACCTGAGGGCAGTGAGGGCTTGTTTGGGGGGTATTTTTAATTGGTTTTTGTTCTCTGTTTCAGTTTTTTATTTTAATCTTTTGGAAAAGAAAAATCTCAGCAGTTTCATTTTTTTATTTCCCTTGACCTAACCATTCGTAATAGCTTGTGACAATTTAAATAATTGTGACTGAAAGAACATCATGATAAAGAAATCATATGGCCATTAAGAAGGCAAGAAAAAAACAAAAGAACAAAATAGATCTCAGAAGGCACTCGAAGACTTGTTTTTGAATGTAAAGTAACGAAAGTTAGTGGAAGAAAAGGAAACTGAGCTCAGACAAGCTCAGAGAGTAGCTTGAGAAAAGAAAGGAAAATATGAGAAGAAAATGTGCAGAGACCTGGAGTTAGAAAACCTAACAAAGAGAAAGGATACTTCCGCATTTATCGAGAAACCAAATAATAAATTAAAGCTTCAAATTGCAGTATTGAATGATTCCATGGGCAAAATATTAAATGACAGAATGACAGGAACCATCAGAGATAGTGAAAAGAATACACAAGAGTCACTGACAAAAAGAATTGATGGACATTCAGCCCTTTTAGGAGGTACCATATGCTAAAGAACCAATGGATTTACTAAGAACTAAGTTTACGCTACCCTGAAGACATTAGTGATAAACAGCATTATAGGAATTTTCAGAATACCAGTTCACATATTTCAACAAATAAATGCAACACTGGAAGTACTCACTTGTCTATGCCAAGACATTTGAAAGGCAATTCCCTGATCAACTGATTGAAAGAAATTCATATTTTTGCCCATTCCAAAGAAATTATTGCTGAAGATAACTTTAAAACGGTTGAAGTAATACATGGACAGAGAGTTGCCAGAAATCCAACTCCAATTCAGAACATGAAATGGGGGATATCATTACGGACTTCAGATGTATTTTGTCTTAAAGCAGACAGTACCAGAAAGATGCTTACTTGTATTTTGTTGACCACGTAGAGACATTGGACTATGTGGATTCTAGCAAGTTATTGATAATGTTGGGAAGAATACGAATTCCAGAACACAATGTTCATGCAGAAACTACTTAGACCTGGACCAAGAGGCAGTTGTTCAAACAAAAGGGAAAACCAGTAATCCCCCACCTAATTTACACCAAAACAATAATTTAAAACAAAACAAAAGAACACCGGCATGGTTAAGATCAGAAAAGGTATACTTTCCAATTGAATTCTTCATTTCATTTAATCTAAATGCTAAACAAATAATTCAAGAACCGGAGTATATGAAAAAGAATGTAGAATAAGAATTGCAGGAAGGCACTTTAATAATCTGTGATATACTGATGACACAATTATGCTTGCACAAAACAAAAAGGGCTTACTGATGAAGGCAAAGACTACTTAAAGAAAATTAGGATGGGCACAGTTGGACCACTAAGCAACGTGATGATAAATGGAGAAAAGATCGAAATGGCAGGGATTTCATTTTACTTAGACCCACAATCAATGCCCATGGAAGCAGCAGTCAAGCAGTCAAGAATCCAAAGGGAATAGGAGCCCTGGTTATGCATTGGGCTGCCATCTGAAAGGTCCACAGTTTGAAATGACCAGTTGCTTCCCAGGAGAAAGATGGGGCTTTCTATTCCTTGAAAGAAGGGTGGTTCTACCCTGTCCTGTAGGGTCACTGAATCAACAGCGCACCATGGCGATGAGGTTTGGTTGGTTGGTTTTTGTTTTTGCAATGAGGGTTTTTTTTTGTTTTTTGTTTTGGTTTTTTAAATTTATTTATTTTTAAGCATTTTATTAGGGGCTCATACAACTGTTAACGTAATCCATACACACATCAATTGTGTAAAGCGCATTTGTGCATCATTCTCAAAACATTTTCTCTCCACTTAAACCCCCGACATTAGGTCCTCATTTTTCCCCTCCCTCCCCACTCCCTCCTCCCTTATGAGCCCTTGATAGTTTATAAATTGGTATTTTGTCATCTCTTGCCCTGTCCGACGTCGCAATGCGGGTTTTTATGGCTCCAGTCAAGTTTGCTGTAAAAGACTTCTTTTAATTGTTAAAAGGCAAATATGCCACTTAGAACTGAGATGCATGTGTCAGGCCAGCTTGCCTAGAGAAACAAACCCAGTGACCCTCCTGTAAGTGTAAGAAAGAGCTTTATATCAAGTAGTAATATAGCGAGAAAACATCCCAGTCCAACTCAAGTCCATAAGTTTGATACTAGTCCATAGGTCCCTCGTCAGACTCATGCAGCCACATGCAATGATGCAGAATTCAGGAATATCACAGGCTGGTAGGTGCTCCAGGGGTCTGGCAGTAAGGAGGGTCAGCCAGAAGGAAGGTGCAGGAAGTCAGAGAGGAGGACTTATGAGAAGGCCACACCTACAAGGAGTCACCATCAGGGTATGACCCGATTGACAGACTAAATTCTACTCCTGCAATTTTTTTCGCTCTTCAACTTGACATGAAATTGTGTAACTACCATTCACTATATGCCTGGCTCAAACCTTGGGATTTTCAGACACCTCTGACGCATGTGAAAGCTGAAGGGAAACCTCAGAAGAATCGATGCCTTGGAATTGGCATGTTAGTAACGAGTATTAAATATGCCATTGACTGCTAGAAGAATAAACAAATCCGTCTGGAAGATGTACATGCAGAGTGTTCCTTAGAGACAAGAACGGCAAGCCTTGGTCTCGTGTACTGTGGCCATTTTTATGGAGGGGCCCGTGGCTGCACCAATGGCCTCCGCCAGAGTGAGGATGATCCGGAACCTGGCAGGGTTTCGTTGTGCTGTACATTTGTCAGGACGAGTTAGAACCTACTGGACAGAGCCTAACAACAAATGGACCTGGTTTCCGAACTCCCCAGTTCGGAATGGCAGTATCACTGGATCTGCCCTCAGCAACGTAACTACTCTCTGCTAGCCTTAAGTTGCTAAATACTGGATAGAACTGTGATGTGATTATATGTATCTGACTTATTGTTGAATGTTACTAGTAGACTAATGTTTTGATAGAACTCTGAAACTGACTCAAGTCTATTTATTCAGGTCACTCTGATTTCCTCAAATGAGGTAGGGTGGAAGATAACAGGTATTGTTCTAGTCATTTCATTTCTCTGACAGTGTTCTAAGATGTGGGACAACCACATTGGTTGCCTGTTTGACTCTTCTGTAATGAGTCTTACTCAGCTGCATTTATTTCTCGTGGACAGGAAGGAACTGACTGCTGACGCCCGGGAGCTGAAAGGGGAGCTGTACTGCTTGCCGTGCCACGATAAGATGGGGGTTCCCATCTGTGGCGCTTGTCGGCGGCCCATCGAAGGGCGAGTAGTGAATGCCATGGGCAAGCAGTGGCATGTGGAGGTGAGTTGTCAATGGTGTTGGGGTGGTTGTCATCGATAACTGCCGTCAAGTCAATTCCAATGTATGATGTCCCCGTGTGACAAGGGCAGCTCCACAGGGTCTTCAAGACTAACTTTTTTGGAAGCAGATTGCCAGACCTGCCTTCCAGGTTCAACTGGTAGGTTTGAACTGCCAGGCCTGCCTTCCAGGTACAACTGGTAGGTTTGAACTGCCAGGCCTGCCTTCCAGGTACAACTGGTAGGTTTG